ATAATGTAGAAATAATATGTTCAAACAGAATCTCCTTGTGTTCCTTTGGTTTTAAATGTTTTTCGATCAGTGAATCTCAAACAAAACATATCTGTTAAAGGTGAAAGCGGGAAATAAATCTCCTTGTCATCCATTTGCGTCCATATTTATGACAATCCGTTTACTTTTGACGTTTTTATGATGATGCTTCTTCGAAAAATATGCTCTACGTTACTTTCTGTTTCCATATGTTTATAAATTTTTAATTTCTAATCTTAATACTGTTCGTGTGTATATTTTACTTTTACCTTTTTTATGGCATATCATTCACATCACTCACTTTTACAATCCTCTTTATATTAACGTTTTTTATTTCAGAACACTATGTAAATATCAACTTATATTTCATGGTCTGTATTCAAAACACGCTTTTATCGGTAAATGTGCACTTTTATTTCTGTCATTCTATAGTATATGTAATGTGAACTATTGCTAACAGTGCGCTCTGAATACGAGTCTATATTTTTATGTTTTAGAACACTGTAAGATTAGATAAGAGTAATGGTAATCTAATCCTTTGTGTTAAATAACATTTTGTTATTTTTAACTTTTATGTCAAAACGTAAATGAATTCATTTCTGTTGTTAGTTTCAAAGTAAACATCGTTCGTATAAACGTATAACATTTATATAGTAAATAATAAATTAAATTTAAGTCAAATTTAATACATTTTCTTGAATTAAATTCTTTAACTCCACTGTTTTAGTCAAATTAACGATATATTGAGAGCAGTGGCGACTCATAAAAATAATTAAAAATAACTCACATTGGATATGATTTGACATTATGAATTTAACAGTGAAAGTTTGATAGAAAAAAGATTTTGATGTAATAAACGCTTTAAGAAAAATGGTATTTAATAATAGTGATTTAATTGGACGTCCCATTAATTCATATTAAAGTCGTTGTTACACATTGATTTGATTCGAATGTAAAAGTAAAATGCAGAATTATTTTACCTAACTGTATAATAAAGTTTATTGAAGATTTCGCGGTTTGACCCGTTTCTATATGTTTACATTAAACACATATCGTTTCAATTTGTGTACGACGGCTTTAATGTGCACCAGTGTGCACTGAGTGAGTTCAATCGAATTAGCTATAGATAATAGTGAATTCGACCATTCGCGCTATATTGGATAGTGCACATTAATTAAAGGTGCTGCTTTATATAAGATATCTAAATACAATAACAATGAAATAATACGTATATATATTCTGTTAAATAACGTAATAATGGCTCCATTGTAAGATTCTTTAATATGATTAATTCTTGCTCTCTTAGTTCCTTGCTGGATCTAAATGTATAATCAATCTCATTAAAGAATCTCACAACAATTGCAAATCTGTTTTCTCTGCTGAAAGCAGCTATTATCATTACTGAGTATTTAATAGTTTAAAATACTTACATGCTTTTACATTTAACTTTACTAATTTCATGTATAGCAGCTTTTAGTATGCACTAATCCAGTTTAACGCAAGTGATCGAATTTTACTGTAAAGAAAAATTTGTCTTTGAGGTCACTTCTGGTGTTTTATCGTTAAAAAATTCGTACCAACGTGAATTAATTCAATCCTCAAGCGAGAGGCACGTGCGGCGCTTAGACACGTCGCTATGGCGGAAGCGAATCTCTCTCTCTCTCTCTCTCTCTCTCTCTCTCTCTCTCTCTCACATACATACGTAGAGTACACGCGGATGCTGACGAGGAATGCGATATTCGCGGGCAGCGAGCAAACGCCGACGGGTGAGAGTACGGAAAACCTGGAGGTCTGCCAATTTGCGCGACGTCCAAATGACTGTGCCGCGAGAGGACTTTGCTCCTTCGGGGTTCTCTGACTTTACGCGTTCGTTCCGCGTGTACCAGCGAAATTGCATTATCAAACTTCTCTTCCTTTCCCATGAGCAATACAAATTGTATTAATATCGATGCGCTGGGAAAATACAAAATTAGGAAACTCTTATAGTGTTGACAATCGGAGGCAGAATGCTCCTCGAGGTATTTTCTTGGAAAATTTGCGAATATATATATTCAGACGAATTTATTCTTTTCAACGCCGCCCCATAATTGAAGATTTCAAGCTTCAAGATCCACATTCATATCCCACATTTAGCGCGTTTTATCGTACGTGTGAACTGTGCACGAGACATTATCTGGGTCTGAGAATCGAACAGTCCACAATTAACGTTAAATGCACGGTGCGAGTAGGGAGCCTAAATTTTCTTCCACGGTACAGAATCGCCGTCGCCGGCGATTAATTCTCGCGATTAACGCGAACAAAATCGGTGAGGAGGATGAGACGCGTATCGTGGAATTGTAATTAACGTACACGATAAATTAGTACGACTAGGGCGATAATAATCTCACGCATGAAACATTTCATATATATTTATGTATATATATAATATGTATGTATCTATACCTATATACAAAAATATATTTTATTATATATACATTATATATACATATATATGTTCTTTTCATTGTATATACAGAGTGGTAGTTGAGTATTACAAATTTTGGAGAATCATTTTCTTCACACTAAATTAAAGGCGGCTCCAGACAACATGGCCAAGTACGTCAATATTATAGCAAATATTACACACACATACACACGACATGCATAATTATATATATGAATGTAGGCCAATATTCGGCGAATGTGCGTACATTACGGCTACGTCGTCTGGGGAGCCGCCTTAAAACGAAAACTTCATAAGACCATATGTTTGAAACAGCTTACTTTCAAAGATATAGAGTGTTAAAATTGAAGGAAAAGTTCCGTTTTTTTCAAAATTTTCGGATTATTTTGATGAAACTTTGTGTACGTTTAATGTTTTATCAAATGTTTTAACTCTAGTTTTCGAAATTTTTGGGAAAAACAAAACTTTTCCTTTAATTTTGACATCCTTTGAAACTCTAAGTCGTTTTGAACAATATACGATCATATAAAGTTTTCGTATTGAATTAATGTGAAGAGGAATCATCTCTTAAAATCTTTTAGAATATACTGTTATAGACATTAAAGAAGCACAATGGTAACTCAATCCCTTGAGTTAAATAACATTTTGTTACTTTTCCATGTATGTCAAAATGTAAATCAATCCATTTCTACAGGGTTGGGTAACTTTTTTTTAAACTAAGTTAAGTTAAAGTTAACAGCCTTGAAAATTTAACTTTATTAAAATACAAGTTAATCCATAATGAAATTAATTGAATTAAAAGTTAAGTTAATAAAAAAAGTAATTAAAAATTAAATTTGATTCGAACGGACAACCAAAAAAAAAGGAAAAGAAAAAGTTTGACCATTTTACATAATTGTTTGTATTTTTCCTTTCTCACAGCATACTTATTAAAGAATCTTATTTTTGTCCACAAGTAACGATTATACAATATAAAATTACTAAATTATATACTCATTATCCTGTCGCATTGTGTCTAAGGATTAACTTAAAAAAAAAAATCAAATTAAAAGTTAATAGTTACCGATAAAATGTAAGTAAATTAAATTAAAGAGTCAAGAATCTAAAATGTAACTAAATTAAATTAAAATTAATTAACTTTTTAATTTTTATCTTTTTAATTTAGCACTTCAACCCTGCATTTCTATAATGATTAGTTTCACAGTAAATACTTAACTTTATGTAAAATGGTCAAACTTTTTCTTTTCCTTTTTTTGGTTGTCCATTCGGATCAAATTTAATTTTTAACTTTTCAGTTACTTTTTGTATTAACTTAACTTTTAATTCAATTAATTTCATTATGGATTAACTTGTATTTTAATAAAGTTAAATACACAACCTTACAAATACTTTCTAAAAATGTCAAAGCATACGTAAGAATTACTTATAATAATTTTGTGTATTTGTTAAAGTAATGATGAAAATTAGCCCGGAACACGAAGGAACCCATCGTATGTAGGACCGGAAAATCATTGTGTACCGAAGGTTAACAGTGCACTTTATAACCATTCTCATATATATTTATATATATTGCAATGTAGGTACGAGTAAGGATCGCAGATAAACGCGATCTCTTCGATTCAATATTGGATGCAGGGATCGAAACGGCAGCCGGTCGCGAAAGTATTGACCTTCTCCGTGGCGTTTTCCGCATTCCGCGTCGCGTCCTCAGGGTCAGTAATCGCGGCGCCGCCGACAAAACTTCCACCATCGGCTTACCGCTGAACCATGAACCGCTAAACTGTGTGGCGTCTTTAAAGGAAAAAAAAGGAAGAAAAAAACGAGGGAAAGACGCTCCTCTTCGCGACGATCTGGCACACGCTGCCGACCGCGATATCGCGACGAAATCTAAGCCGCGTGTACACGGCTTATCTTGTAGAAAACAGATAAACTCGATGCATCGCGAGTCGAAGTAGAAAGGCTGACCGGTAACTGACCTCTAATCACTACTTAAGACAGTCGCGTGAAGTCCTTGAAAGCTTCGTGAAAAGGAGCGAGTATGGACGTTAAACAACAGAATATAATTACGATAGCGGCTAATTGCCGTTTGTAGAACACGGTGTCGTGAGAATGTCCGACTATTCTGCAACCGTGCTCCGAAACGCAAAACAGCCGTTCTTGCGGCAAAACCGACATTGCGCCCGTTCCAGTAGACGTCACTCGCCAGAATCGCCAGAAGGAAGAAAGAAAATGAAAAAGATTTAGAAATATTCCTTCAAACCGATCAGCGTGTACTTGAGTTTCCTGAATTCACGTGCGATTCACGGAAGCGTTCTTCTGAAAATCTCGACTTGTTTTTGCGACTCGAACGTGGGAACGAACGGTCGTTTTTTTTTTCCCCTCTAAATAAATACAAACAATTCGTTTGCCTGCCAAAGGCGTGAAAGATCGTCCGACGGCGAGGAGGCCGCGGTCGAGGAATTTCGCAAATCCGCGCAACTCGCGCCGCCGCGGCTCGTCGCTCGTGAGAAGAAGGAAGACAACATTCTAGGTTACTCACCGAAAGCAATTCCTCCGGCACGACGGCGACCGTTCGGGGGAAGAGGGGAGACCGATCGGAGAGGCTCGGCGGTATATCCTTCCGTAGAATCCCGGCGAAAACTAACCCCGCGGCGGAGGTAACCGCGTTATCCACGTGTACGAAACGTATTCAGGCACACCCGACACTGTTGGCACACGCGAGAAACACGCGAACACCGCGCGACCCGCTGACACGTACGACCGCGCGCGATTTCACGGCAATGGAATTTTGTCACGTCGCGCGTTTTCTCAACGTACGGTACCGCAGACGCTCATGTTGCTGCACCACGGACAGTGAATTACCATTCCAGCTCCTTCCCTCTCCAAAAGAGTCTCTGGGCGTGGCTTAGCGCCGTAGAGATCCGAACGACGACGGCTGCGCACGAGGCGCGCTCGCTCGCCGGAAACGCCAACGTCGCCAACTAATCTCGCATGCGTACGCGGCGTTAACTCGAAATCGCGCGCGGGCGATTTGAATTCATGTTTCATCATCGAAACGTTGAAAGCCTGGTTTATGCCACCGACGAGATACTATTAAAGACCGTCAACCCTGGGCAAATTTTCGGCGATATAAAAAGGGCCCCAAGGGCCCGGAGGTAATCGAAGAACGCTGACATTATCGACAATTGATATAAATTTGTTATTATTAACATAAATATTTGACTAATACATTATTAAATTCATGTATTTTATTACATAAATGCTCTATAAATAAATATGCATATTTGTAAAGCTATAATATCCTATATATTGCCGAAAAATTACAATTTTTTAGTTTAATAATATCTCGTCGGTGTTTATGCTTACCAAATTATCATCACATTACACAGGAGGTAGTGCAGTGGACCTTGTACTAAAATCGAAAAAAAGTTAAAAATTTTTTTAACATTTTTTCGATTTTAGTGTAAAATCCACTGCACCACCTCCTAATTTTGCGTCTACTTTAATCCTGTAAAAGGATTTTTTATTCCATTCAGTCAATTCGAAGATTTTTATACGACTGTAATGCTGGAGTCGCCTGTATTACCGATAATACTATTATCGATACCCAGCATCCCCTCAAGGGGATCCTAAAGCCGTCTGTATTACCGATTAAATCGTAATTTTTATATAACAAATACTCTTTTTCTCTTTCACAGATTCGAAAATCCGAGAACGATAAAAAATTTTTCTTAAGATTTCAATTTCGAAATTTTTTATCGTTCTCGACATAAATTTCACCTCACAAACACGTATTAATATGTATACTTTAATCCTGGAAAAGGATTTTCGAATCTGTGAAAGAGAAAAAGAGTATTTGTTATATAAAAATTACGATTTAATCGGTAATACAGACGGCTTTAGGATCCCCTTAATCGTAAAATCCTAAAATTCAGCCAATGGAATACAGATTTTCGTTAGGATCAATTAAAACTGGCAGTCCTTTGGCTGAATTTTAAGATTTTAGGATTAAGACCGAAACATAATGGCCCGTCTACAACACGTAGTAAGCTTGGTTTAAGAAGTAAGAGTAAGAAATTGACCAATTAGAGTCGATTATTCTTTTCACAATCGACTGTGATTGGTCAATTTCTTACTCTTACTTCTTATAAACCAAGCTTACTTCGCATATTGTAGACGACACCTTATGCTTGGTTTATGCTTCGGTCTTAATCCTAAAATCCTAAAATTCAGCCAATAGGGCTGCCAGTCTTAATTGGTCCTAACTGAAATCTGTATTCCATTGGTTGAATTTTAGGATTTTAGGGCTAAGACCGAAGTCTAAACCAGGCATAAACCAAGCATTCTTTTCTTCAAAATAATACGCCAATCCATAAAATAAAAGTATATTTTATTATATTATATGTATGCATATAACAAACATATTTCACTATATATAGGGTGTTCGATAAAGATCGTAATAACGTTTAATTAAGAGTAGATTCTTGAGATCATTTTGAGACGAAAATTCCAATACCAAAGTGTAGAGGGTATAATAGTTTTTAAATTATGAGCGCTTAAATATCGCGTTTAGATGAAATTGGATTTTCCGTTGTATCACATCTGAACGCGCGAACTTTAGACGGTATTCGATAATTTTAAGTGCTTGTAATTTAAAAACTATTATTCCCTCGACATTTTGGTATTAGAATTTTCGTCTCAAAATAATCTCAGAAACGAACAATCTGTATATTGTACCATATTATATTGTGTTATATTATATTATATTGTTATATATATATATTGCAACGTGGACATGAATAAAAATCGCAAATAAACACGATAACAAAATTTTAGTAAAAATCTAAAAATAAAAAAATAAAAAATCAAACTTTGTTAATTTTATCAACCTAGTTAATTTTACCGACTGTCAATAATTTATTAATGGCATAGTTCGTAATTATCGGTAATGGATAATACGATATTTTTTATATTTTTTATATTTTATAAACCGCGAAACTTTAAATGACCAAAAATTAACAAAATAATTATTGGTAGATAAAAAATCAGCAAAAAAACAGCATTTGTAAATTTCTAAAAAAAAGTAAAAAAATTTGAACTATAAAATTCTAAACTCTCAAATACAAGTAAAATATCGGAATATAATCAAATAAGAAATGACACACTATCATTAAAATTCGAAGAATTGCAATTCTGAAAATTTGTAAGATTTTAGACAAAAATTTAAGTTTTCAGAAATAGACAAAATAAGGAAACTATACTTAATAATAAGATAGACTAATTGACTATCTCAGCAATTGAAATTTTAAATCTTTCTAAAATTTTATATACATACAGCTGCGAAAATTCAAAAATTGGCAGAAGGTCAAAAGAATATCGGACGGCATACATTATCAGATGAAAAATAATTGCCAGAAATTAAAAAAATTTTTTCATGATAATGCAGATAACATAAATGCCGGTCATTCAGTGAATGTTCAGTACTGCTAACGGTATTCTAAGATGTGCTAAGATGTGTCTGCAACGCGGCAGCCGCTTCATGTCAGTTTGTTAGCACGTATTTCTCTGTGAGTTAATGCGATACAACATTCACGATGCACACCACGAATTTATATCCAATGCCAAACAAAGTACGTGTTATAATTTTATGTATTTAGTTGCTTGATAATATGAATGTGGTACGGGTTATCAAAACATAACCTTTCGATTAACAATCATAGCGTACATAATTACTCGCTGACTTGCAAAAGTCTAACATATATTTTTCCTTATCTTTAATTTTGACATACATAATATTTTTCTAATATGCTTGTTAAAAGACTACATAATCTTTTCATTAAAATAAATTTTTCATATTATTTTACATTGGACATGTTACTCTTTAGTATTTTGTAGCTGTTACAATTTTTATTTTTAGAGCGAAGCGGAATTGATTCTAGAGGAAAAATGGAGGCAAGTTACAAAATTATATAGTAATTTTATAACAAAAATCTTTGTCGGTTTTTACAGCTTGACTTGTAACGTCTACGATTAGAAACGTGGAAAAGTATATGGAATTTATATTAAACTAATTTTCTAGAGTGGAGCAGCTAAAGATACACGAACAGCATCGAGGTCACGAATCTATGCACGCAGAAATGGTGCTTATATTGTTAGTGACGTTAACAGTAGCACAGATTGTACTGATTGAATGGAAGAAGAGGCACTTTAAGTCTTACCAGGTGAAATAAAATATTGTATTCTTTATTATACAGGGTGTTTCCAAATTAAATGGCAAAACTTCGGGAGCGTGTAGAGGAGTAAAAAACTAAGAAAAAAAGTCCTATAGACATATGCTCCTTTTTGCTTTGTTTCGCAGGAAATCACGAAAAAAGAAAAAAATATATTTAATTTATTATTTTAATTATTTTATTTATAAACTTTTTAATGAAGATTTTGTTCGAAATGTGCACCTCTTGCAGCAATACAAGCATTGCATCTGTCAAACACGGCTCTTGTAGCAGCCAGGCACTGTTCTTGCGATATTCTGTTCGCTGCAGCTACGATACGATTTCTCAAATGTTGCTCTGAT